GTGCTCGAGAATACCTGTAAGAACTCCGGAAAAGTTTTAAGAAAATGGAAAAACTCATGAAAACGATAGGTAGGGGGAACCACAGCAGAGCAGAAAATTTCAGAGTGGCGGGTCGTATTTTTGCGTAATTTCTGCCCAACGGCACAACGTGCACTGGTAATAGTTAAGTGTCTTGAAGGGTTTTATCGTATTATCAGGTATGTTTTGACAAATTAGTAAGAGTTTTATTCTGCGATTACAATCCCCATGAAAAAAAACTAAGCTTTCACTGTTGAAGAGCCTTTTTCAGGATGCGCCACGCGTCCAACTTCCGTTCAAAGACGTGATGGCTTTCTATAGTCGACTCAGTGACTTGCGAGGATGCGGCACCATTGAACCACTCCTACCCCAAAGACCCAAAAAAATTTTTTTCGCTGAAACTCTTGCCCATAGGTGTTACTCGATGTCCTGATCATGAATATGACTTTTTTTCTGGTGCTTGCGATAATAGGTGCCAACATAACGCCACCACTTTCCACACCAAATTTAATGAAAACTTGTATATGGGGGTTAATTGACATTCTGATCACGGATATGGCATTTATTACTAACACTGGAGCCATTTGCCGCCAATTTGGCGCCACATCCTTTCTCCCTAAAATCAATAAAAACTTGCGTGATAGGGCTATTTGATGTCCTGACCACGAAAAGGGTACAGCATCGTTATGTTGAAATGGTGGTATAGGTACGCCCCCCCTACAAAAGAGGGCGTCAGTAAGACCCCCATTTACGTGGGGGCGGGGGGTCGTACTGAGGTTCTCTCTCAGAGGGGGTCGCACCTACACCACCATTTCACGACCCCCTCTCCACCTAAATTCTCGGTACGACTGACCCTTCCCCAACACCTCCTACCTACCTACCAATTTCCCACACTTCCAGTCTTTCACACAAATATGTTCCGTCGAGCGGGCGAGCGGGAGGGGGAAGGCTCTGCTCTCAAAGGCACATGACCCCATCTTTCCCAGACCAAATAACAACTTCCCCCCTCAGCGGAAAGATGACCCCTGCGTGTTCTCACACCCCCCCCCCCCCCCCCCCCCCCCCTCAGCATGCTGTACCTGTACCCATGATCAATCGAAAGTATGGCATATATCTCGGACACCATGGGGGGGGAGTCGTGAAAATGGTTTTGCGATGCGCACTGGAGAAGGAGTGATTCCTTCGGTGCCAGCTTAGCATACTTTCGCTTCTAAGGAAGGTCGTCAGGTCGAAGTGGCCATTTGTAATGAGATATAGCTCACTGGACGTGGTTTTGGACGCTGATCTCGAATCTGCCTTCGAAATTTGCAGAACGATTCTTTGAAAGGAATTATGAAGGTTTTTTAGAATTAAAGATGCCAGTCCGCGTAAGTTAGCGGGAAGCACTCGACAGTTTTCCAACGGCGGCATTGGTGTAGTGCGAAGTGTCTTGGCTTCGGGGGCATGCGTTAGGTTTCGGATTTCTGTAAGGGGGCTACTATTTGCCATTATCGTTGCGAATGTCTCCTTTGAAGTCTTACGAAAACACTCAAACGCCAAATGGGGTGCCATATTTTCGTGATTCAAGGGGAGCAAAACTACCCCTGGGGGCAGGTTTCTAGCCAGATGTGAGGTTTTGACCTAACTTTGAAAAGTGCGGTAGCAGCTGATCGAATGATGGTCACTAATAGTTCCAGGGCCAATCTCTTGTTGATTGCTTGTCTTTGGACGGAATTTGCTTTCAGATATTAGGAAAACTGAAGCAGTAACAATCATGATGCGTTAAGAAGGCGGCAAGACGAGGAGAGAATGTATTTTCTGCATCTGGAATTAGGTGAGTGTACATCAACTGAATCACCATGGATGGTCCGCATTTTATGGAAGTCAGGTTCAAAATGCCAGATTTGGCTAGAAACCTCTACATAGGCGTAGTTCGCCCCCATGAACACGAATATGGCACTCGTTCAGCGCGAAAACGCCTGCACTGCCGCCAGGGGGGGGGGCACCCTGTACATCCAGAAATTCTCCTAAGTCATAAGGCACTAAGCGCGCCAGTAAGCGAACGCAAACTGTTTTTCAGGCAAGTCAAGGAGAACGCTAATGTAGTAGTGACGCTACAACCACTTTTTGCACGTTTGCACAATTAGATAGCAAAAGTTAAGCTCAGCAGCGGATCCGATCCCACGACCTGTTGCGTGGTAAACGCGATGGAAAAAGCTCCATAACTCCGTTCAAAGAATCGTTCTGCAAATTTCGAAGGCAGATTCGAGATCAGCGTCCAAAACCACGTCTAGTGAGCTACATCTCATTACAAATGGCCACTTCGAACCTGGACGACGCTTCCTAGTTTAGGAAGAAATTCGTGGGTTGATCATTAGTGTCCGTACCATTGCGCGGCGCCAATGAAATGGAGTGGTCATATATCAGACAGTCAGGATGTCAAATAAAACCGCGTAGATGGTTCTCATCGACTAGTGCTTTAGATGTTTTGGCGCCTGTGCTATTGGCGCGGCGCCAAGCCGTTTTTTGCCATGAAGCGATGTGTGCATTTGTCGACGGCATAGTTACCCTTCACTGCGCCCCAGTCACGCAAAATCTGTCAGTTCCCGACGAGCTTTTTCTCGTGAACGAAATTGGTTAAGAAATTGTCTCCATAGGTTAGTTTAACCGCTCGCTAAACATGAGCATCGCAATTCCAGCTTCGGCCCGGAAAACTCCTGGCCTCGCGCTACAAGATCCGCACACACAACTCAGCGCCACAAGCGCCGTACGCCAAAGGTATCTTATCACAATATTTTGGCTGAAAACTTGTTCCCAGAGGTAGTTTGACCTCGTGGAATTATGTGTATTCACAAGCCGCCGGCACGACAAACCTTCTAATGCTCGCGACCACAGGCTGCAGCGGCGCCATCATCGCACTTCACCGGCATCCCGTGGCAGGCCGGGCGCCAAGCGTTTCAGGGCAAACTAATGTGATGTTCGGTATGGTCAAACGTACCCAGGAGACAATTTTGAGCCGGATTTTGTCACGAGAAAAAGTCCGGCGTTTCAAACTGGCGTTGATTCCGGATGACTTGGGCATAAAGGATGAAATAGGGGCATAATTCGTGTATCAGGAAAATCAAAATCATCTGAAGCAGATTCTTAGAAAAGTGTGTGAGAAACCGGACTGGTTCCGGAAGACCGGGGTAGGAGTAGTTCAGTAGTGCCTTTTTGTCTTTCCATAAGAATACGATACCAGATACCAACTGACCAGTCCCGGAGCGATGGGAAGCGTACTAGGCAGCGAAGGAATACACCCACAAGAACTTTGACACCCAGATGCGCGCAGGAAGGCACACCTTTTGCCGCTACATAACCCCTCGACAGCTTTTATAATTATAAATAGCTTGCTAAACAAATTGATCAAGAATTATTGAACTGGTCAATAAAAATAAACCACATAGTAAATATAAGAAAGTAAATAAACGTAAGAACAAACGTAGAGGCCGGCGCTGTTCGGCGACGGGGGGGGTGGGCATTTTGTACCTTCACTGCTTTACTAGTTCCGGTTCACAAGTTCCGCTCTGGTGAAACCTGTGAACACTTGTGAAGCTGGAGCAAGCTCGTCTAGCCACCATGGTAAAACCCGTCAACTCTTGTCTTGCTCATGAAAGAGCTCTCTAGGTGCGTCGTGGTGCAAAATGCCCCTCCCCCGTCGCCGACCTGGGTCGTAGAGGTCATTAGAGTTGCAACACGGCCAGACAGACATCAAACATCTTTCCGTAATTAGATTGCGAGAATCGTCTGTGCGAAGAGAACAGGCTGTGAGAAAGATCGACGAGAAGAATTTCTGGGCGCGGTCGATGCCGATGGTAAGTTACCAGACAAAATCAGAAAAAAAATGGCAGCGATTGTAAACGAGTTTATGCGCCTGCAGCGCGTCATCGCACTTGCAGTTCGTCTCCGACAAAACAGAAACGTTCTCTTTTCATCGAGGACGTCTGGTCTGGAATATTCTAGAAAGCACTTGTCGCACAAAGGAGAAGGAGCCGTTTAGCGCTAATCGATATATGAGTTTGACATCTGTTT